AAAGAAAAAAGAAAAAAACAGGGGAAAAACATAGTACCTGAACAAAAATAGGGGTCGATTTGCAAGAACCTTGAAACTTCAAGGGTTGTAACATAAATGTCATCCCTGCCGGAACGATAAGCTTCTCATCTCCTATCCCACTACACACAGCTTCCCAAGCTCTCAAGAATGCCTTTTTTAATTCCCAGAAAACAATTTATATATATTATATGAACATTTTGTATAATGAACTCAGAAGATTTTATTATCCAGTATAAATTTATCTTTTTACCTGTGAATCATCTGTAACTCCATCTCCAATCGCTCCATATTGAGTAACATCCAATGCTTTTGAAGATGTGAAGATTTGGAGAATGAACAGTGAGAAATTTAAGATCCAAGTATTCTTCAACATATATTTTGGAGAAAGAAAAAAAAAGAGAGTTAAATCGTGAATAAAAATGAATGTATTTACTAATTAAGAAGATATAAAAATACGTTATCAAAACCGTTCTCAAATTTCATAGGTAGATAGATGCATATTTACAGACAAAAAGAAGATGCTAAAGGCTTTACCATGTTATGCGGATATTTTATAGACAGTAGGAGACAATATAAGTAAAGAAAAATGGACATAACAATACGTATATATGTACATTTAGATTTCTTAACAAAAAAAAAATTATGGTAAATTTTCAAATTAATTACTTGTGTCCATGAGGCATCGGAGTGGGCACTGTAATTAATTATAAATAAAAAGGGTTATCATAAAAATACGTGCCACTGTATCTACAATGTATTAAAATATATGATCTTCAATTTTTTTTTTGGTTACGTTTTTCTTGATCTCGTTTATTTTTTTCAAAGAGATCTATTCAAATATAACAAAGTTGAAAAAGAAAGTTTCATAAATGGAGAGTTTACCTTTAAACACATTGTTATGCCAAAATTTATGTGTGACGGTCTATTCCAACTAAACTTCCACATACAAACTAAATTGATATATGAATGTATTTATATATTTATAGTATCTTAAGAAACTTGCTTTTGCCTTTTTGTGTCTATTTTTGACTTATTGTTTGCTTTTAATTTCTTTTGTGTCATGGCTTCGGTTTGGGTTTTTTCTATATTCCACCTTTCCTAATTTTTTATACTGCCTTTTCTTAAAAAAACGTAAAAAATAAATTAGATTTCTTTACTTTTTTTTTATCCAATTAAATCAGTTAAAGTTCTCACGTACTTAACAGACTCATAATAATTTGGAAAAAAACAAGAAACAGTCATAATCAGAGCTGTGGCCGAATCAAAATGTGACACGTGTTTAAAGATACAGGCCTAAATAGCAGAGTCAGCAGAATGTTAGACTACGAGGCCCAATGAATGTCCACATGACAATATCAGGAGCTGCACCTACTTTTACCAAAGCGCACCCAGTGAAAAATGTAGAGAAAATTCAAAAAATGTTATTTTTAAGTGCTATTTTACAAAAATACCATATTTTTAAAATTTTTATAAAAATATCACTTTTTCAAAAAAAT